CCTTAAAGTTGATTTCCCCTTAATGTAAAAACAAATTTGATGTTGAAAAGGTATAATAATATAATGTAAAATTTTTCTTATTGTAACATTTTCAAATTGCCCCACGTTCAGAATCACTGCACTACATTGACGCTAACCCTGACATGACCATGATATTATAATAAACAAGCCGCATACCAACAGTCAGGAATATATAACTTCCAACTGCAGTAATATTAAAGTCAAGTATGCATATTACAGTGTAACATTAAATTTTTACATTGTTTGTTTTTGTAATTAAGTACAAAGCTACACAATGGGCTATCTGTGATCTGCCCACCACGGGTATCGAAACCCGAATTCTAGTGTTGTAAGTCTGCAGACATACCGCTGTGCCACTAAAGGGGGGGGGGGCTTTTTATATTGAATGTCATGTAGGGGTGATTTTATGTATAACTGTATCATCTCTATATTATTCTTTGCATTCTTTTTGACACTGCCATCCCTACACCATTTTACAATTACAATTTTTTATTACTTTTTATGACGTTTTTTTCTCTTGACTGAAAATTAGTGTATTCTATTAATGTGTGTAATAAAATTTAATATTATGTGGATTGATTTTTTCACTCCTTCACTTCATATATAATATAAGGGTTTTCTCCCTAAAGACACCGATTGTATACAAAGCATTGAGTATTCTACATGTTACAGTAATGTAAAGTTCATCCATCATTGGTTGGTAATTCCTATTTCATCCTGCACTTAAGCTTTTTAAAGGAACACCAAATTTCTGTAAAGAAAACTAACTTCAAGGGGTAATGATAATAACAACATCGTTTACACTAGAATTATGAGTTTTTAAAATTACTACTAGTTATTACGACTAATCGATGACATCATGAAATGCCCAGAAACACATAGAGTGGATTTAGTTTTAAAGTGACGTTTTGATAAAGTAGTTGTAGAGTTATCTCGACTGAAACAAGAAGAAGAAGAAGAAAGATGAACAATTTGATGTGTTGGTTACTTTCTGGTTTGGTATTTCAGCGATGTTTTTTTGCTGTGTTTTTGACCTTGTTGGTTAGATAAAAAAAATTAAAGTAAGTAGCAATCATATTTTAAAGTAAAACTCTCTGTCATTGTTGATTTTTTTAGTGTGCATATTTGTATTATGCCTTATGAGTACCTTGGTCATCCTTACATATAGTCTACCGATTCTATGATACACTTCTGTGTTTGGTTTCATTAATGAACTATATAGTATGTTAATTTTAATTGCGATAAATCCAGCTCTGAAATGTGTCGTATGGTAGACGAAACGTTTCTTTAGTACAAGAAATATTTGTGTTGTATTATCAAAATTACATTTTCTAACTTAAATTTCAAATCCTAACTCAGTATTGTTTGTCCAAGATTGAAAGCATAAATAAAATCAGAATTATAAATGACTACTTAAATTGACAAGTCCTTCGGAATCTTTAATATACAAGTTAAATAAATATTGAAGAGCTAAATTCTGTGATATATCGTACCTTTACCTATTTTGTCTTCATCGATTGAACGTGGAGTACATGCTGTCTGGATATCCCACTTTCCATGACTTGCTAGGTAATGTAAATGATAGGCACACGTGGTCCTGGAATTTATCGACCTCGCCTCCAGTTTTTATTTAGTGAAAGAATTGGTTCTTCTGTGCTTGTGAAGTAGATAATCCAACACGCGACTGGACTAGAAAGATCTTCTAATTAAATTACAGGCGTGTGTTCAAAAATCATTTTAGATTTAACTAATTACATATCATCTAAAAATGTAAATGAGATAACTACCAGTCATATGAAATAGATATAACCACCTATCTACCTATCTATTAAACCTTTTCCATTCCTTGTTCTTACGTTTCAATTTATATATCCATTAGAAGCAGACAAATATAAATCTGATTATAAATTCAAATAGTTTACTTTTTCTACCAACTTTCAGCTTTTGCTTCGTAACTTATAGAAATAAATATTATAAATACGATTGTTAAATATGACAAACAAAATATGACATTTTTTAGAAGCTAAAACGAAGCATCATTGTGTTAGAGAAATGAATATTTTTATGATGAACTAATTCGTATTCTCAGAGTGGGGTGACTCGTTTTTGTTCCTCCATCTTAATCAGGTATGTAAGATTTTAGGACAATTAGTAACCATAAAATTATTTATCGACCAATTACAATAATTGTAATAAGTAACACCAATTGACTGGCCCAGCCTGAATTATTTTAAACAACTAAAAGATTAAGAAGAATTTTCTTCTGATGCTCAGGGCTAAAACATGCATGATTTCCAAACACTTAGAAATAAAATACATAATAATCAAGTATTCTTGAGTAATTTGTTTTCATTGAAATCTAGTGATTTGGTTTGATGGATCACATGGATAAACTGTTGCTCCTATATTATCAAGAATAATTAAAACTTAAAATTGAAGTGTCGTAACTTTTCATTCTTTATGCTCAGTTACTTTACAGAAACTGGGAAAAACACATATCAATGATAAATATACTAACAAGCAGAATTTTCTTCCCATTGAAACGTAATTTTCTTGAGAACAAGGTGCACTAAATCTATATCTGGATATATATATATCAAGTTAAAAGTGTTTTCCTTTCAAAATTATAATATCGAACTTTGAATCTATGAGCTCAAAGATGTGTCATAACCTGTGGTTTTTCGACATAATCAAATCCTTTATTGTTGAAACCATTTGTTCCCCGTTGACTCAGGTGTAAGTTTATAGACTTTAAACTTCTGTTAAAACTATTAAGTTCTGAAAGCAGAGAGCTGTCAATAAATGGGTTTAATTGATCTGTAGTGTTATCATCATCATAATATCAGTTCAGTTTGAACCGTGCAGGAAAATAATACGTTAGTTGTCATCTTATGTAAAGATAAGTTTGACACAAATAAAAATCGATCGATCGAACTACAAACAAATCAGTACCTAACTGGGTAATATGGTTAAAACTGAAGACTATTTTTATTTTAAATCTGCACATTTCTTCCACTGCTCTCGGGGGTAATTGCATAAATTTCTTTTTATCATCAATTTAATCGGAAAACAAAACCTTTTATTTATAAGCGGTGTATTTTCAGTTTTATCAGTCAGGGGTGCTTGAGGTCCTGTTATAAGTAGTGATTTAAATTACTTAAAGATAACAAGGAAAGTTTGCATCGCTACTTGGATTAGATGGCACCAACCAGGCAATATCATAGTAGTAGCTTTTATAGGCTTGATTTCTAAGTAATCCAGTACTCTGGCATCAACCAGGCAATATCATATTAGTAGCTTTTATAGGCTTGATTTCTAAGTAATCCAGTACTCTGGCATCAACCAGGCAATATCATATTAGTAGCTTTTATATGCTTGATTTCTAAGTAATCCAGTACTCTGGCATCAACCAGACAATATCATATTAGTAGCTTTTATAGGCTTGACTTCTATATAATTCAGTAATCAGGTTTGAGATGCTTATTCGCAAGGGCTTTTCTTAAATAAAACAAAGCCGAACCAAATTGCTATGTTTAACCACTAGCTATTGTAAAATGGCTTATGATTCGCCATTTTCAGCCTAACAAATCTGTAGTTAAGAAAAAGACGTTTTAGAACTCCAGTCAGCATCCTGAGGTGTTACAGCATATCTTAGTGAAATCAGAAGAAATGAGGAATTTAACTGGACGCAGCGCGAGTCCTTTCGATATGAACTGCTTTCCATTGCTGTTCCTCTTATGCTTCCTTAGTTGACAATAAGAATCCTTGAGTCTTCCAACCCAGGGACAAAATAAGATTATTCATGCTTTTGTTATTTGAACAAATCACACGTGCCTTAATCACATAATTAAGTTCGGTTTCTTGTAAATAGGCTTTTTTTTTACGTTCTTGAGATAAACCTCATGCTACATGTATGATCTTAAGGGGAAAATCAAGATTTATCAGAAATTTGTGGATTAATAAATGGATCTAGTGCTACGAGTAAAGCACATAGAGTAACAAAGTCAATGAATCAAAAAATATAACATTGGTATATATGTATGCTAGTCTTTCCTGTATCAGATATTTTTCTCTTCTTCACTCATTGCAATATGTCAGATATTTAAATTATGTACGAGTTTCTTTTAAACTCAAGGAGGCAATGACAGAACAGTTAGATTGTAAAAGGATATGCATATTTAGTTGATTATGTATGTATATGTATATATATATATATATATATATATATATGACGGAGCTATGAGCTAAAAGTTTGTACTTGAAAAACTCGGAGCCATTCTATGAGCCGCAATGCCGCGGCTGAAAACTTGTACCATTGTAACAGTACAGATATATTGTGATAATTAAAATGAAGGAATAGGCAAAGACGAAATATAGGATAAAGTGAGCTCAGTAATTTTATGTATATTACGTGTAATTTCGTGTGTACTTTTTCACCCAAATTATGCCATATTCATTACAGCGGCATACCTGCGGACTAACAACGCTAGAAATCGGTTTTAGATACCTATGGTGGGCAGAGTACAGATAGCCCATCGTATAGCTATGTGCTTAATTTCAACTAAACAAAAAACATTCACTAGTTTGGTTTACACAAATTGTATCATATTTATCAGTTTAGTTTACAGAAATTATATCATAGTCATTGGTTTAGTTTACAGAAATTATATCATAGTCATTGGTTTAGTTTACAGAAATTATATCATAGTCATTAGTTTAGTTTACAGAAATTATATCATAGTCATTAGTTTAGTTTACAGAAATTATATCATAGTCATTAGTTTAGTTTACAGAAATTATATCATAGTCATTAGTTTAGTTTACAGAAATTGTATCATATTCGTTAGTTTGGTTTGCACAAATGAGATAAAAATCTTACAGCTTAAATTTGTTTTTACTTCGTAGTTTTATCTCGTTATGATTGTTATCTGCTCACTGTTTCGTTTATTGTTTTAAATTGGGTCTTTTCTTTGTTTTAGGGAGAATTGTGACATAGACTGACTTCGCGAATGATAATGTCAATTTGACAAAGAATACATTTTATAGAACGATGACTTGTACGTTACCATGGAGAGGAACATTGGTAAATCGGACAGTGGCAAGTAGTTTAGCTCAATTTTTATGTAGAAAAAGAAAGGAATGACATGAACAGTGTGTTCGGAACCTCTGAAAAATCGCGAGTTTCTGCTTTCAAAAATATTAAGATTAAATCGTTGGACTTCAAAAAGTTAGTTTTTTTTCAATCTCAACTGATTCAATGATTGTAAAAAATGCAAGGAAGTTCTTCTACCAACAGAACACCATAATATTAGACTACCTGACCGACAACTGGAGATATGGAAGCAGATATTCAGGTAGACGATTGCAGTGCCACCTGTTCTAGTAGAAAACAAGACAAAATTCTCAATGATAACCAAGTCAAGAAAAAATCAAATATAACGCCACATTACATGCAGAGCGTGGCTATTCAACCCATTATACACCCAGTGGACAGGAATATACTTTGGAGCTTTCTATTATCAGTAATTTTCGTTGTCATTGCTATTATAACTGGAATTCCCTTTGTTATTTTCCTGGCGCTCTTGATACCAATTGTTCTTTTCATTCGTCATGCTTGCGCAAAGTATTGTTACTGCAGAAGTGGCAATAGAGGTGTATGTGGTACCAAGAAACTTCACCTGCTATCAGCAGTTGATGCATTTTGGTTACACGATTCAGATTTTAATCGTTTTGTGTCTCACTGCATATTTTTCGTAGAACGAGGAATGAACGCAGAAAAGCTACGAGAGCTCGTACTGACACGAGTTATTACCAGACAGTATAACATGGGACTCGCATTCCCACGATTCACTCAGAAAATTAGCTCAGTTTCGACAGGTTACTGTTGGGTTGAGGATGAGAATTTTGCACTTAAAAACCACATATTTGAGGAACAAAAACGAATAGCCAGTAAAAGAGAACTTGAAGACTACCTGACATTCCTAATGGGCCAACCTATGTCGCAGGATCGCCCTCTTTGGGAGATCCGAGTAGTTCCGAACTTCGGCAAGACTAAAGATACAGTATTTGTGCTCCGTGTGCATCTTGCTGTCAGTGATGGTATATCGTTTGTAAAGATTCTAGGCAATTGTCTGGCAGACAGCCGGCATAACCTAAGACTTAAACCTCGGTACGGTGGGACCACATTCCCTTTTAACGTATTCCGGGCCCTTTTGGTGGGTCCTTTAACTTTTGTAACTTGGTTGCTATATTTCAGACGAGACTGTAACCTCCTTCAGCATTCGCAACGTCTTTCTGGCGAAAGAGTGGTTTCCTGGTCGCGTAATATACGATTTTCCAAAATCCAGCGTATCAAACAAATCACTCGAAGTAGCATCAATGACGTACTTCTTTCTGCCGTCACTGGATCTCTGCGAGCCTACTTCCAACAAAATGGAGTGGAACATCCACCAGATGTAACGGTAAGTTCATTAGGTTTAGTTCTATTGTAGAAGTTATTTATTCTGTATAATTACCTTTAGCGCATACAGTTAGTTATTAATAAGTTGAAGGGTTTGTTGCCTGTGATGTTTAGAATTGCTTTATGATGTTTTAGCTGCATACGAGTGTGTACAATAATAAGTGTTGTTTAAATATTCAAGCAAATAAGAATTACACATTTTGATAAAGTGTAATGTACATCAAGTAAGGTACACTAATAGCTTACATTCCGCACTTCTTCATTCTTAACTTTTTAAAAATGAACAAACGTAGAATGTTCATTCATTTATGTTCTTTGACAGCTGAACGTGTTACACATACCCAAAGCTCACCTGCCCATCCTTCTTAAAGCTTAACATATCAGTCAACAAATCACTAATATTTACCCCTTTTCTACTTAACATGTTACATTAGGATCAGAGCCCGAGCACTAATTTATATTCTTTGCTACATGTTATTGTTACAGTACACCCATAACTCATTAGTCGGTATTCTTTCCAACTCAACAATGTTCCAACAGGTCCACACGCGATAAATCGATACTATTTCAAACCCAATCTGTGTTATACTGTATGAAAATATATCTAGATTAATTTTTATAGCTTAAATATGTTAACTCATTGGCAGTAAATCATTACTAAACCCTTAGAAGTTAATAGTATAACATTTATCCAGAATATCCAAGCAATTAAAAATGATGTTGTAGCAAATAAAATATGAATCTATATCTCTTCAACACTTTAAAGTAGTAAGCTTCCCAGTCTTCACTTATTCACATTACGAAAGTTACTGAAGGTCCAAAAACGTATAATTCAATAATCCTTGAAACCAAAACATAATTCGTAAAATTATATTCTTTAAAATGTACTGATGTTGTAGGCAACTCACAAATATATAGATCTTGTAGGCTCATAAGTTACAATACCTTCAACCAGTAATCCACAACTTATTAGTCTGTAGTATTGTGGTATATACATATATGTTGTTCTTCTGATTAAGTACAGTAATGTTCACAAATATTTTGAAGTTCGACTGAAAATGTACCATGGAGTTAAACTGAATTATTTGACAATGACTGAGTTGAAGAAAGCGTCAAAAGACAATATAAAAATAAAGTTAGAACTAAATTATCAAACAACACAAATTAAAGCTGTAGATAATGCACAGAACATAATATAACGTTTTTTTTTTTGTACTTAGAAGGCAGAGTTCTGTCCTAGATCTGATGACAATACATTTTAAGTTTTATAGAAGGTCTGGGTAAGACTGATAGAGTGCAAAGTACAATATTGTCATCTTTTTCAGAGTGCATGCGCTAACTGCGTCACTGTTGGCCGTTTCTATAGAATAAGGGAGATGATTGTATCCTTGCCAATGGTCAAAGTCATTGCTAACCTTAAGATATCGTATTCCATTAAACAACAGTCTTTCCTACGAGGAAGTTCATGTGACACCAAAGAGTGAAAAAGAAATGACCCATGATAATAGGTAACTAGAGTGAAAGTAATTTAGCCACATACTATGATAAACATTCTTTTGTTAAATCTACACACAGCTAGAAACATTTTAAGAGTATTCCAATAGATAAACGACATATCAATCTATACCTTTCGAAAAATAACAGTAACCTCACAAATCAACAGTTTCTACCTTTATCAACCTAACAGCGTTTTAACAGCTCCCAGTTCACCACGTTATATTCATTTTTATCTAACAATGTCTATAGTAGGCCTGCAATGTTAGTCCACAATCTGTGGAATTAGAAGTATTTTATATAAGTCTCCCAAGTCGTAAGACTGTATTTTGTTTACAGCCTAACGATGCGACTTATCGCATATTCATCAATATAATTCTTTGGGGCTATAAAAATGACAAAGTAAGCTCGCATCTTGGCAACCTATACACTTTTAAATATCTTCAGTACGTCGGAAATGCCTAATTCTATATATTCTTCGGGACCAAACAGTGCTGTTTTCCTCCCCCTCTTTCTATTGAACCTACCAGTGTTAACTTGGGCCAACAACTCGTAAGACTGCACCGTGCAAAGCCTAACAATCATAAAATGTTTTTGTCTGTTTGTTTTTGAATTTCGCGCCAAACTACTCGAGGCCTATCTGAGCTAGCGTCCCTAATTTAACAGTGATAAACCACAAGGAATGCAGCTAGTAAACACCACCCACCGCTAACTCTTGGGCTACTCTTCACCAACGAATAGTGGGATTGACCATCATATTATAACGCCTCCTTCGGATGAAAGGGCGAGCATGTTCGGTGACGGGATTCGATCCCACGACCCACCGATTGCGAGTCGAAATGCTCTAACCACTAGGTCATGCTAGGTCGACAAACATAGAGAAAATATTATCTGGGAAAACTTTTTATGACACACTCACTCTACAATAAAATATGAACTCAAAACACTTGTATGTTAATCATACCGTTTCGTTAGCATGTTTGAGTGATTGGTATCCTTGTTATATGTAGTGTTTAAGTAAAATGAAACATCTGGCATTAAGGTTAGTCTTATTAATATATAGTTACTGTGGAGGCTTAACAATCATTGATATATATCAACCTTCAAATATAAAACTACATAAACTCATATTAAGACGTGTATACACAATATAAGTTAGCACACACAGACACATGTATATACGTGTATGTGTATACAATAAATTATATAAAGTGGAGTTCGCCCCTGCTTAACAGATTTAGTTTAGGCCTAAATCATCATACTGACTTCTAGTTCAAAATTAGTCAAACAACAAGTTTTTGCAGTTATAATACAAAACGGACCTTCCATTTATTTTGTCCCCCAGCAGCTTATAACGTTATATCCACGGTGGGAAAGCCATTTCTCCTATATTCCTTTTTTTCTTTATTTCTCCTGTTATTTGAGATGCCTTATGCTTTTATATTTTTATCTTAATACTAAAACTTAAGAATCAGTTTTTGATGAAGCATATGTGAATATAATATAATATACATCTAACACACTTAGTCTTTTGCTTTCTTTGTTACTTACACTTACGTGAGTGTTGACTGCAAATAGAGAAGACCGTATAAACTATAGTTATCAATTTACGATATCAAATATTCTTAGAAATATGTGATAATGCCCTCTTTTACAAGTTAAATCTATATTTTAATATGTCGAATAGATAAGCTTTTTGTATATAAAAGTTGAGTAAACGGAAACCAGGTTCTTGTCAGGTGGCTGAAAGGAACAGATTGAAATTGGCAGTGGGGAATTTACATGCTAGATAGCAGCTATTCTTCGTGGCGTAACAAGTATCCAGGTGTATTGTAGCAAGTTGAAACTTTGATAGAATTGATCGTTTTGGATTTGAAATATTTTGTTTTGTCTTTTGATGAAATCGGTGACTAGTTGTGCGATTCAAATATTACTGAAGCCTCATGTGACGTCATTCATGCTTTTGGTCCACATTACAACAAACAGCCATTGTATGACATAAATCCAAGCAAGACATGCTATTATTGGCGAAACTACTACAGGGTACATACCGAGTTAAATAGTCTGATAAACTTCTGCGAAATTGGCCACGTACTCAATAATGTGTGGTAACTTATTATTACAATACAGCATTCCTTGATCATGCAGAAGTTGGGGATTACTTAACATTATTACCTCATTACTTATAAATGATATAGAGAAACCATATCATCTCGCCATGTAATTTAGTAATGGTAACTCTACTGTACAGACAACTGAACCAACTTTGAAAAGCTCAAGAATCACCAGGACTAATTCACAATAGTTTTCAATTTGGAGTTTCAGCTTTAGATAGGAGCTTTTATGGTTTTGTAGAGTCGTGTTTCGGTGATTCAAGTAGTATTTTGCTCGTTAGGAAGGTTATAGAAATGTACAAGTCATTATGTACTTGCACACTCATTTGTTTCTATGTCATGCTCAGTGTAGGTTTTAATCCAGTATATACGTGAATAATATAGAGGGCAGAAGAGGTACTTTTTACCAGAAGTGAGGAGTCTACACTTACGAAGTGTCCGGTATTAAAGAATTTCTGAATGCTTGAAAAATGTGTACTTTGATAAAATACTGGAGCTTCTTGTATTCATCTGACCTGACTCTAAAAATTTCAAAAGTTATTTCAAAAAGAAGGACCCATGATATGCATGTTGTATTCAAAACTTATAAGTCTTGTTAGGAATCCTTAATTGAATTTCTTAAGTGAGAAGTAGTTAGCGTTCTAGTGGGACCTCGAATTGACATATGTGTATCTAATAAGAAGTTATATTTGAAAAACAGTGCTGTTAAAATGGGAATTAATGCTTATCACTTGGTCATAAAGATTGGTGATTTAAAGAAACAAAACGTTCACTTTTAATACGTACTTTGCTATTGTTATTTCATAACTGCATTTTCTCGCCCATTTTTTAGGGTTTATGAGTGAGGTTTATGCATTTCAACTGAGATGCATCTTTCCTAGTGATAAAAAATTCAATGCTTTAATAGAATGGATTGGACATTTTGTGGATAGTAATGTAAGGTGTATCAACTAATGTTTGGTAGTTGTTAAAACTTGCTTGTATTATTGAAGGGGCATCTTAATGAGAGGGAAAGGAAATTGATTAGTTGTTAAGCTATCCTGTTGCAAGAGATAGAAATGTATTGTGATTTTACATTTTTCATATCTATCTTACTTACTCGCAATATGTGTACTTAAGAAGAAGAAACAAAGGTTGGTAGAAAAAAGTACGTTCAGCATTTTGTACTCATCCTACATGAAAAATCAAATTTTTTTGTATTTGATCTAGCGTGTTCTAAGTTGTATGTTTTTAAATGCTTTTGAGAACGAACCAAGGCTTAAAACTGTATTTTGGTTTTCAGAAGGTGTCTGTCCGTTGCAAGTGCTATGCACCGATGATTTTAGATCAGAACCTGGCTGCTGAAATGCATGTTTTTCTTTCTTCTTGTGAAAACTATGAACATCTTGTACAT